CTACTTGGAGATACAAATATTCTACCATTTTATTAGAGCTGAATTCAAGCCACTTTATATGCCAAAATTGGTACCATGTGAGAAAGCAGTGCAGAGTTTTACTTTGGCTGCCCCCTGCCAAGGTACTAAAATCAACCATCTCATCCATCTGCAGCTTCAGTTCGACATTTCTGATTTTGATGACAAGATGGTTTTTGTAAACAAATCGCAATTCAAACCAGAGATACGGGTTTCCAACCTACAGTGTTGGGAAAAACAAGAACTCAGTGCAACTCAGTCACTTCAATTTAGTATCTTCCTCCTAATAAAGACTCATTTGATCATCTTTGCATTTGGAAAAAAATATGGTAAAGTTGTTTGACTTTGAAAAGGAATCAGGATCATGGGAAATCCAGTATTTTTTTTTAAACGCTGGTCAATTTTTCCCCTTCTGTTGAACATGACTGACATTTCAAAGTTTGCTACCTGTGTGAAGATCAGAAGCTATGGAGGGAAAAGAATTGAAGTAGCTCCTCCCATACATTCCATCAGTAGACAGAACTTAGCTGTTACAACATAAAACACCGTCGTACTGACAAGCTGGTCCAGAGCTGCAGATCATTTGATACAGTGCAAGCATTAAGAAATTGAGGGGCAAGAGAAAAATTTACATGAAGCCACATTGCATTAGTTATGCTGCACATGGAACAAATTGTTTTATTTTGTCCTTAAGTATGTGTTTAAATAAGGAAATGTGTATTTTTTTTTTTAAATACTCTAAATTCCAGTGAATTTTAGATATACTGGATTTTCACTGCAGAGGGGAGTGGTTGAACTATGAACTTCCTCAAAAATGGCATTCAGTTGCATTTAAGCATAGCATCTCTCTGAGAAATCCCTCCATAAAATGGGTACTACACACAATTCATGGAAAAATTGTCTTCATGCACAATGGAAATATCGTAGATATGGGAGATAAACCTGAGCCTTCTAGCAAATAACCTTAATAAGGACTGGAGAAAGAAAAAAGTCTTCTAGAGGACTTGAGATTACAACATCAAGAATCCCCAGGAAGGGTGGCACCAAAGTAACAGTAATCAAGATGATTAAGAGTCCAATACTTATTCAGTTGAAGAGAAGAATGGCTAGAGGTTGAATGGAAACTACAGTCATATGTGAACAATTTTCTTTTAAAATCTATTAATAAAAGAACACTGGAAAAGAGTGAATTGCAAACTTTTTCTGCTACAGGAATATCTTTACTGTGCTGAACCAAGTGACACAGCTTATTTCCTAAAGTCTGCAGCAGCCATGTGGAACTGCCTCCAAATTGTCAGGTGAGAGAAATCCACATACGAAGGGAAAGAATTTCTTCAGAATAGAAGAAAAAATAATGAAAATATAGTAAAAAAACCTTTAACTCCTTCAGAATAAAAGTCTTTTCAGAATTACTATGTACTTTTGTCAAAATACCCCTGGTTGGATTTTTTTTTTTTTTTAAAGGAAGCAGCAAGGAATAGAAATTAAACCCTTAAGTTCTGGGATCACGGAAGTTCACAGCTTGCTAATTACTTTTTTTTCCTTCTGTATTTCCCATTCTTCAAAAATATGATCAAAGGCAGAATACAAAAGAAAAGAATTATTTTAAATGAAAATATTCTGACTTTACAATTTCATTTTCTCTTTCTCAGTGCTACATTTCAAGTAACATCTGTCTTCCAGTCAGCGTCTGTGTGGTTCTCAGAAATACACTCTTATTTCTTTCCTGGTTCAGGGTTATGTTCTAAACCACAATATACAGACTAAAATCAACAGAAGCCCTTTTGTTTGTTTTGGGGGATGGATGACCTTTCTTGAAGCAAGTTTCTCCTTTTCAAAGATTATGTGGAAACATTAAAGCCTCATGGAGTGGAAACGAATCTAAATAAGTCTTAACGCCCTACCAAGACAAAATTGCCTGATCCTCACAGAAGCACCTCTTGCAGAAAACTTCCCCACTTCACCAACACTGGTCATGGAAGATTAATTTACTTCATTATTCCCAAGAACTCAGATTTCCTTCTCCTCCCCCAAACTCAGACACAATGAAAAATTACAAGTGGATATTGATGAAAAAGCTCAGTTTTGGTGTAAGAGCTATAACTCTATACTGAAGAGCTCTTCTGGAGCAGGGGGCAATGCTTGTTATCACGATGCCCGCCTGTTCCCGTTCAATAGTGCAGCAAGCAAAGCTTTCCATCTCATAGCAAGGAGGAAACAAGGACAAAAAGAAAGTAATAAACTGACTGGTATTTTTCATTTCTCGGAAATTAATTTTAAGAACAGTAACAACAAAAAAGTACTTTTTATCTCAAGTTCAGAGCAACAGGGAAATAAAACTCAAATGCTGCAGGCTTAACTGTTTGGTATTTGGCAGAAACAAGTGTCACTTCAGTCAGAATGATCAGGATTAACAAACCAACAAAAAAACCCCACGCGCTTCCAAGGCCACGTTACTTTGCTTTTAAAGTCACCTCAAGGGGAGGCGAGGAAGGGGAAGTTCCAGTAAATATGAGAACAGTTGCTGAATCACTACTACTAACCAGTGCACCAGAGCAGGGTGAACTTGTTCCTAGCATCATTACTTGAGTATATTTGTTAAGGCAAATACAATAGTAGCAGATATGAACTGTTAATTCATATTTCTAATTTGAGTTGATGAAATGTTAAAATAATCCTTCATTTGAAAGAAGCAATGCTGCTTACATGTATATGTACTGCTTTGTTCACCTCAAAAATGCAATCTGGAAGTAGTTCAGCTCTTTTTATTTTGTCAACTGCTATATTAGATGTAATATTTTGAAGGAAAATTATATATTAAAAAATCAATTCACATGACTGAAGTGCAGCATTTTTAAGGTACTTGTAGTTTTCAATTTATAATTTTAGAAAAGACCTCCCTTGCAAGGATGGAAAGATTTTTCATAGAAAATCAGAGCATTAAGTACTTTTGAGATACAAAAATATTTAAAGGCAAGAATCTACAATGTGAGGACCAGCCAACCATTTCTGTGTTATGTGCAAGCTTATTAATTGGTATCAATTGCCTGTGTGCAAAATGATGAAAAACACTAGAGAAAGTTCTAATCATACCAAAAATCTGTAAGAGCAGCCTTTCAGAATTCTGGGTTTGGTTTAGTGAGAGTAATTTCATATTTTACTTTCAGATATTTAGCATTTAAAGAACAGCTACAGGTATTCCTGACATCATCCTTAACAGAATTACCTGAACCGAATTGCACTAGAAGCATAGATACACCAGATTTACCCCAATACTTGGATATACAGTGGGGAAAAACAAAAAAACCTTTCAATCAAGCGATCCAGTGAAAGTCAGTGGAATTTGAACACCTAACCTGGTTAGATTTTATAAAACTAATAAACAATTTCAGTAATTATGGTGTATAAAGGTTACAACCTTTACGAGCCTGTCTTCCTGCGTTGCCAAAATAACCAACTGCTACTTGGAGAGAACTACACTCTTAGAATTTCTGTAATTTACAGGGAAGACTTAATTCTTATGTTCCCACCTGCTTCATCAGTGGTCAAAGTGAAAATTACTCTCTTGCAAGAAAGCATTCACTATGTAATATAGCTCAACCTTCTCTTCTGTCCTTAAGCTTGCTCCACTGTAACATACTGTAAAACAAAGCGAAGATTATTTGCATCCACCACAGGTGTTATAGTAGTACATAAACACACACAAGTCTCAACTACAAATCTAAGTATTCCGTTTGCCTACCGTTGTCACCTACTCCATTTACATATTTTAGCCTCACATTTCATGTTTATCATACCATTCTCACACCTAGCTTTAGGTCTATAAAACGTTTTAATGCATCCTGAAAACTTAATACAAAAAAGTTCTAAGATTAGTTTCACAACTAATTAGCACAACAGATTCTTAATTAGGAGGCCTGTATATTGCTGTAATTGAAGTAGATGAGTTATACAGCAAGACAAAATGCACCTTATTCACAGTGCTTCTTCTACCATATGGTTTCTCTCTAGAGTCATCCCATTCTTTTTCATGACATTTAGATATGTTGGTACGTTTAATCTCATTTATTTCTACTTCTAGAAGACAATTGTTACATTAATATGGAGACTTTGGAGACAGAGAAAGCTACAGTTTCAAAAATTTCTACAGCATTAAAATTGTTACTACTGAATGAGCTCATAGATCTCTTCGTTCAGGTCCTTTTATTAAAGTAAAATGCACCAATATCTCCCTTGCTTTTCCCAAGCTGCAAGCATGTAAGGTGAAGAATTTGCCCCCGAACTCCAATGCTCACGAGAAACCATCTCTGAGGTCATAAAACTGTATGTTTGTTTAGTCACGTAGCAGCTTATGCCACGTATCCACGTAACAGGTTTCCAAAATATCAAACTAGCTAAAAAATACCAGTTAACTAGAGAAAAATCAATTTCAGATCTGACCAAAAAAAGACAACTAAGCAATTGCATTAACCAAGTAATGACAAGTCTCAACTTGAGGCAGTGGTTCCCCATCTTTTGCTATTAAATTCCCAAATCCAGTTCATTGCAGGACTGCCAGCTATCACCTTCTCATCCACTTTTAGATTACCTCAGCATATTCACGGCAGATTTTTTTTTTTTTCTCGTATCTGTTTCCTTTCTATCTCTCTCCAGTCTTAAGACCATTCCCTGTTTCCTATCTCACCAGAATACTGTATGACACTTGCAGCACCGTGATCTACTGGTGGTTCCAGATGCCAGAAAACATTTTGACAGGCACAAAATGATGGTCTGGCAATACTTGTCTAGGTAACACCATATATTAGTGCCTTAACAAAAGCTGTTGGATGAAGAATAGGAGGTAGAAGCCACCGAAGAAACCTCCTTTCATACTTTTAAAACAAAAGCAAAATTGAATCCAGAGTTCAGCAGCCACTTAGCAGCTATTGTTGTTCTCTACTTATTGTACCTCCATCTCATCCTATTTCCCTCTGATCTTCTGGTTTGTCCATCTCAATTCCAGGGGATCCAGCTTTTGAGTATGAAAAACCATGAAAACTACAGGAGTTGTCATATTTACTGTAAGAACATCTGCAGGGTCATACTACTGGCATTTTAAAAAGCCAGGCTAAGACAACCAACCTTCATTCGTCCCTTCCTGTATGAATGTTCTATATGTCAAAATACTTGAAAACTGCACTGATACAGTAGAACTTATTTTAACTTGCATTACGAATAAACTGCACATGCTGTTTTACAGACAATATATATTTGTAAACTTGCTCATGCAAAGTTAGTGTGAACAGGGATACTTGTTTTCTAATCCCCACACCTTTAAAAAGGACATTTATGTCTGCTTTTTTTGAACTGTGCCCAAACCCTCTCTTTAATATAATAAGTCTTACACAGAATTCATCTGCCAGCCAAACCAATTTATGAAGCTGAAACAAAAAAGAATAAAAAGTTATACAAAAACATGGTGCACCTGGATGCTTGATTCCCCCTCCCCCCCTTTTTGTTTACAAGTAGAAAGAGTGAATAAAAGAAAAAAATCATGGTCACAAAATTTTGACATTTTAATCCTAAACATTACAGGGAAATGGATGTTGGAACCTATTTCCATACACCATGCGTCAACTTTTTAATTCCCAAATATGGCCAAATCCACTAAAACAAGAGTGGTTAACAAACTCTGGATTATGGAAATACATTTCTGGAATAAATGCTAGAAAAGCAACAATGGGAAAAGCCAACTGTCTCCATAAAGGTAAATAAAGTGGAACAATGTGTAGATTATGTACTTTTTCTGTTTCTTACTCATAACCTGTCAATTCAGTGCATCATATGGTTCAACATAATGGTCCCCATTTTGGACAAACATCTAACTAGTGTCCATTGATTCCAAGTTAGTGGATGATGAATCTTTTTGGATACTTTCAAAGATGGCTGCCAGCTCAGGGTTAGAGCTTATCTGTGACTGAAATTCACTCATTAATGGACTCTTCTCTGCTTCTGGAATGGTTAGAAGCGCTGCTACTGCCCTCATAGCAGATCTTTTCAGTTCATCTTGCTTTTCAAACTCCTGTTTCACTGAGTTTGCCTTTACCTAGGGAAAAAAATGAAAATATGTTTGAAACTTTTGCTTAACCCTCCCTCTACACCCACCTTAAAAAAACATATCTTACAAAGACCTATTTCCTTCCATACTACCACTCTGCAAAGCTTTCAAAATGGCCTAAGCTCTTAAAACAAACCCCCCCCCAATGACAACAAGAAAAAAAACCCTCTGAACATCTACTTTTTAGCAGACTTTTTGCCAGCAGTTTACAAATAAGACTGAAACTTGAATACTGCAAGGTAAGCAGAAGAAGGTTGTAAGCTACCAAGTCAATTACCAAATCAAAACAATTACAGCAGCCAACCTCTAGCTAGTAAGGCCAGTGAACAACATTAAAATGACATTATCACAATACTCCCAGTTTCCAGAGAACAGAAATTTTTAAAAAGTTGACCTTCATTAGAATAACTGCTTAACCTTCTGTTAGAATTCTCAAAGACGTTTCAGTGAATCAAACACAAATTAGTCAAGTTTCTTGATGTGAAATATAACAGATTACAGTAATAGACATTAAATGACTGT